ACGTTTATTAAAAGTGATAGAAAATATATTTACATTGTTATCAAATAAATTCTATTTGTAATAAATGCTGTTCTTTTGAACTTTCTATTCATCAAAAAATCCTGATAAAAATGTATCAGTTTCCACACTGATAATAAGAAACGTTTCTTGAGCAGCAAATCAGCATATTAGTATGATTTAGGATCATGTGACACTGAAGACTGGAGCAATGTCTACTGAAAATTCAGCTTCGCTATCACAGGAATAAATTACATTAAAGTAGTACACAGTTATTTGAAATTGTAATAATATTCCACAATATTGTTGTTTTTACTGTATATTTGATCAAATAAATGCAGCTTACGTGAGCTATATATTTATACAGTATAATATATAATGTTAATTTGTGATGTGTCTTGTAATGCTGCAAAGTCTGAAGCAACCCACTTTGAGTTGAGCTACCTAACACTCATTTTAATATAATCTGGATGAAATGTAAATGAAAATCCACAGAACAATTCAATGTCAGTACAGTGCTCCACTTATGCTAATATTTGACATACAAGTATTAATCATGTTGATTTGCCTAAAAACATGTAGATTACTGCTCTCACCTCTTTCACAATCATGGTTATATATAGCACTGCCCAGAAGTCTGTCAAACTGAAGTTGTCTTTTTCTCTGTAGTATTTTTTGAGTTTTTTAAATTTTTCCTTGAAACTGATGTTTCCACCAAGTTTATTTTTAATGTCTTCTTTCACTTTTTCCAGCTTGCTGGACCAATTAGGCTCTTTGTATAAAGACACCATGCACCTTATGAAGAAAAAAAGGTTCAGCATTTGTTTATATTCAGCTGGATCTGATGAGCTAAATCTGAGTTCACGTGTTTGTTCACTTACCAGGTCGATCCAGAGAGTCCAGCAAGATACAGCACGCAGTCCAACAGATCATCTTGAAACAGTGCAAGCAGTGATCCCAGCAAACCCAACATCGCTCTTTCACTTCCTCCTGAAGCCACCAGTGCGATGTTGGGCATCTCTTCCTGTAAAGAGTAAACACCACATTTATGAAGTGACTATATAAAAAATGCCCCCTCTTCTGTGAGGAGTTCAGTCATCAAAGAATGAATTTGGCTTTGTCAAGATGACCTGCCTAAACCCTTCCAAGAAAGACATTTCCCAACAACAGAACTGCTCTCTATATTATCAGGATGAAATAAACCACTAATTTATCACTTTTTTATTAACAATAAAATGAGTTTAAATGGCTTACAAACTGCAGAATGAATTAGTCTGGGAAAAGCTGAAATACACTTACCAGGCTACAATGTATCTCATGTCTTTTAAGACACTCCAGAGCTGATTCTCTCCTGCTGGTCACATGGTTCTTCTCAGCCTCGTTCAGTGAATGTCCGATTCTCACTGTAATGCTGTAGAAAATCAACCAGGGACAGAAAAGACTGTTCACAAAATGTTCCAAACAACTCCATCATATAATACATTAAATATGAATTATCATGCATGTCCTGTGACGCTGCATGATGAAAAAGGAGCAAAAATGATTTCACTGGTATCTAAAATATAAGGAGTATTACCATTCACTTTGATTTTCTTCAGACATCTGTAAAAATGACATTTTTTAAATGTTATGAATATTCAGAAATATTTAGTTTCGATCTGTTCTGAACGGTATGGTGACTGTTTGCCAGCATTGCTTAATTATGTTTTTCCTAGTCTCAAAGCATGAAATCTTCCAAATGCAACATTTTAGTGAAACAAAATATTTAGAAACCAAACAGAAAGTGATTTTTTTTTTTTTAAATCCGTTTTAAAGGCACTTACCATTGCTGCCAGCAGTCGAGGTTTGCAAACCAAACTGAAACTTTTTATTGAGAGCGATGTGCTTGGAAACAGGAAATATAAGAGTTTAGACCAAGCAGAACAGGAGTGACTTCTTAAAACAATGCGGTTTTCAAATCTAGATGAGACTTGTACTTAGTACAACAGTACGGAATAGAACATTTCTAACAGATTTTTAAAATAATTTGTCATAGTTTTATGTGAAAGGTTAAAAAAAAATTCACAATTTTTTTATCAAATAAATGCAGCCTTTGTGAGTCTAAAAGACTTTTAGAAAAAGAACATTTTAAGAAAATTTTACCGACCCAACATTTTTGAATGGTAGTGTACTTTATTAAAAGTTCCAAAACATTCATCACTGTGCACACTTGGCTAAAACTGTTATATGTTATGCTTATAATTAGCATAAAGAGTTTGTAGCAAGAGAGGTTAGTATGAATGTGTGTGTACAACAATATACTGTTACAGCAGCGCTGTAAAGATTGAGACAAGAGAGACAATAACAGACAATTGAACAAACACAATCTTGTCTTCCCAATCATCTCTTTACACTCGGTTATCTGAAACCCCTGAACTAATACGTTTATCCACATCTCACTGCCATAACAACAAACATCCAGAAAGACTGTAATAGATTTCCATATTCACTAATGAATGACAAAGAAATACATTCAGTCAGACACAGAGGTTGCAAGAGCGATCAATGACGTCAAATACTCTGCAGGCATGTTTGCATGTGTGTGCATGTGTATGGAACACACAACAGCATGCTATCTGTGTGCATGCAGCCAATACCATGTGTACAGATGCTGTTTAACACACACATGCAGACTCAGACAGTGACGTCAACCCTGATGATTAAATACAATCCAGTGAGTGACCTCTCCGATGTCAAGTCAAATATCATCAGCATCTAAGAGTTATAATGTGACCTCTGACCTCTGAAAAGGCAATGTATGAGGTAAGCATAAACCAGAAGCAGACACCTTTGTTACAATTATGTAACCACTGAAAAAGCAATATCTAAATGAAGAAAAGACATTTAACTTGTAACAAGACTTATATAGAGTACAAATACGCTGAAGCTAATGTAGTTTTAATATAATATAATATAATATAATAATATAAAAAGAGTTACATTCATACAAATATGCAATGTTTTGGAGTTCCTGAAGGCAATTTACTCATTTTTTTGTCAATTAAGGTTGTAAAAATACATAATATAATATAATATAACAATAGAAAACTTAGTAATTTAGGCAATTTAGGTTCACACATCTTATCAGCAGTAAAACATTCTGTGTGCACAGAAAGAAAGAAAAGAGAGCAATAGAGTGAGGATAAACATAAATGACAGAGTGGGGGAGTGGTGAAGACGAGAGGAGAGAAATGCAGGTATATAAAGCTGCTGTATGACAGAGCATCAGGGAGAACACATGAACACATTTCCAGACAGAGAACACCAGACGAGGACAGAGCACGAAAACAGGAAACGAGGGAAAAAGGAAGAATCCTGAAAGGTAAGAAACTGATTTGTTTTCCTTTTTATATTATCTCTTTAACAATGTGACGCTAAAAGGATAACCAACTTTCAAAAGACATTATTAAGAACATAATATGTGAAATAATATTATTAATAATAAACTTTATTTGTATAGCACCTTTAATACACTCTGAGAAAAAAAAGTTGCAAAAATTGGGTACCCATAAAATTTTAAGGGTACAACAGCTTGTCACTGCGGCAGAACCCCCAAAGAACACATTTGTACCTTATTTACCCATATAAAGGGTTCATAATAGCACCATAAAAGTACATATTACTACCTTAAGGGTACTTATTATTACTCTAAGGTACTAATACGCTCCCTTTAGGGGTAAAAAAGGTACAAAGATGTCCCTTTGAGGGAACAGCGCCAGTGACAAGCTGTTGTACAGCTACATTTTTTGCACTTTTTTTGTGACAGTGTACAAGGAATGCAGTACAAAGTGCTTTACACTAATAATAAAAAAAAAAAAGTCACCAAACACATCACATGAAAACAAATAAAAAATACCATAATTAATATAAGTATAAAAATGAAACCCACTTTATAATGACAATAAAAGATTAAAATAAAATTAGAAGTTAATAGCGTTCTTTTAAATAATATCTGGCTTCCCTAACATCTATTGGTAATGTATTCCAAATACACAGCTATATGCTACATTATGCTAAATAATGAAAAGAGAGAAGCACTGGTAGCTCAGAGCAGCTGAACCCAATAATTCAAACAACTGAGAATAAATCTATAGTTGCTCATTTACCCTCCATTTTTTTCTTCTAGACATGCAGACAAACGAGATGAAGGTTTTACAAGCTGTGTTTTGCGTGGTTAGCATCCTTCAGCTCTGTCATGGAGTATTCAGCAGTGGAGACTGTTACTTCAACGCAAAAGGCAACTAAAGTGGACTAAAGTGGGGGAAGTCGTGGCCTAATGGTTAGAGAGTCGGACTCGTAACCCAAAGGTTGCGAGTTCGAGTCTCAGGTCCGGCAGGGATTGTAGGTGGGGGGAGTGAATGTACAGCGCTCTCTCCCACCTTCAATACCACGACTGAGGTGCCCTTGAGAACCCCCGACTGCTCCCCGGGCACCGCAGCATAAAAAAAAGGCTGCCCACTGCTCCGGGTGTGTGTTCACGGTGTGTGTGTGTGTGTTCACTGCTGTGTGTGTGCACTCTGGATGGGTTAAATGCAGAGCACTAATTCCTAGTATGGGTAACCATACTTGGCCACATGTCACGTCACGTAAACAATACAATATAGGCTTGGCTAAACATGATGTGTGACTAAAAGTGTTAATGACCACCGTTTCGCTGCAGCCAGCTGTGAGCACAATGGCCGTGTATTTGACATCGGGGAGGCCTGGATAAATGACGAATGTTTCCAGTGTGTGTGTTTCGAGCCTTTTGGAGTGGGCTGCTGCGAACAGTGAGTTTCAGGGGCGCATACTTACATGGCTATAAGCACTCTGATGCAGCTGATGTTGAAGCTCATTGTTCTTGTCTGTCATCTCTAGAGGAAAGCAGCCAGTCGATTTCCCGCCCTGGTGCGAGGCCATTAGAAAACCAGATTCCTGCACAGTTGCTGTGGTGATGAAGGCCAACCATAAACTTCCCTGTCTGTTTGGGGGGAAAACCCGCCTGTGGAAATCAGAGAACGACCCACTCTTCTAGACTGCATTACTGAAGTCTCTCATGCAAAACACAAATTCATTTAAAATATATAGCATATTCACCATGTTTCACAATGTACATATAGGTACACACACTGTTCGAAAGTTTGGGGATAGTAAGATATTTTACTGTTTTTTGAAAGAAGTCTCTTTTCTTATTTTTGTCATAATTTAAAATAACTGTATTCTACTGTAATATATTTTAAAAATGTGATTTATTCCTGATAGCAAAGCTGAATTTTCAGCAGCCATTACTCCAGTCTTCAGTGTCACATGATCCTTCAGATTTAGAAATCATTCTAATATGCTGAATTGATGCTCAAGTCAATGTTTAAAACAGTTGTGCTGCTTAATAGTTTTGACCCGAACATTTGAACAGTAGAGCACACACATTGTTTGAATATTATTTGAAAATATGAAACTACTGAATCTAAGTACAGCAGGGTCTTAATTATCTAATAATCCTAACCATTTCAGAAAGTGTCTTAACATTTCAAAATTCTAAAATGTTATTTTTTGTATTAAATGTAAATGACTCGTATGTATATCAGGAGTAAAAACTAAAAGGTGAAATTCGATTTTTTCCCCCCACGATGAACAAACAGTACTGATGCCCATCTCAAAACTGTGATATTTTTGTCTCTAAACAAATATCAGTGACTGTTTGAGTGCATTTTTCTGTTTCTAGTAACCACACTACAGATAATTCTTAAATAAAATGGCAATAACCATCTGAACGTGCAAGAAAACTAGAAGAGACCCAGATCCTGAGAAACACCGGTTCAGTGACAGTAAAAATCATGGTCTTTATTTAAAAAAAATTTTTAGGTATCATTACACAAGATACAGACAGTAACAAAGTGATTACACATCATTGTGGGCTTTTTCCACTTAAAATTATGCGTTCACCCCTTTTAATCTTTATACTATTAAGTGTTGCATTTCGCTCCCATTTACTGTGTTCATAATACATATTTAGATCTGCATGGCTTTTGGAACTTTCGAATCTGTTAGTGCCACTGCTTTGAACTCACAAAAAAAAAAAAAAAACATAATCTTCAACCTTTCTTCCCTGGATAGAATATGGCTCTTTAAAGCAAATAAAAATAACTAAAAATAACAAAACGGGCCACCTGAAGAAACCCTGACTTGGCCTCCTCTGCTCAAAAGATGTCCACCATAAGCCCACAACAGTGCAGGATTTCAAATAGTGGTTTGCAAAAGTAAAGTTGTGTGTTAAAATGCAGGGGGATTAAACCCAAAAAAAGAATACATACATTACTCAAACTCCAAATGGAAGCAAATGCTTTTAATAATAAAAAAACAAAGTTCATTGCGGCATGGTTGTGCATACTGTTACAGACCACATGATGTGGCTTTGGTCCCAAAACCTGTGACGCCGACAAACAGGCAACAGAAACTTGTGCAGGACGAAGAGTGTGAAGAGGTAAGAGGAGAGCAGTGGATCAGGCATCAACAAGACCAACAAAAACATCCTGTCACATGATCAACAGGAAAAAAAAAGGATCTAAAGCCAAGCGGAGACGGAGACTTTTATGGCACAAAATGTTAAGTAAATCAGCCTACAGTAAAATTAAACAATTATTGAGAGAACTGGCTGATGGCCAAAGACCAAAGTGCTACCATATGGCTAGCATTTAACATTTGACACTTTAGGAATACCATAGTAGATTGTTCCTGAAATCACTTGGGATTTTCTGAGGAGATTAGCAGTGAAGCTTAAGTGCTCCAGAAAGATTAAAGTACTTTTGAACCATCGAGAGGCACCACATTTTTACTGGTTGGCTTGGTGAGCCCATCCTCCAGCAAAAAAAAAAAAAAAGGGATCAGAAAAACAGAAGAATCAGATGTGCAGAGACAAAGAAACCAAATGAGATGAAGGTGTCAGGAAGGGAAGAGGAGGCTTTTTTTTCCTGCTCCAGGTCTTCCTTAGAAACTATTGAGCTCGCTCAGGGTCTGGTCCAAAGTGGCATGGATCTTGACGTTCTCCTCTTTAGCATCTCTTAGTTTCTCTGCAATGAAAAAAAAAAGTCCCACGGAGGACAGCAAAAAATGAAATAAACCTCAAAATCATATTGTAATTCAACACTGTATGTGGTTTATTATTATAATATAGACTTTTGATTTGGCTACAAGGTCTAAAGTTAAGACTTCCTAGGTTCCTTGAAGAACCAGTATAGATGGTTTTCTAAGCAACCATATTAGGTTGTAAACTCCTTTTTGAAAATCTTAAATTATAGAGCATTTTGAGACAAAAACGTAACTGGATACATTCTGATACAATGTTAAGCTACCACTACAAATCCTCTGTGTCAGCATTATATTTGCATTACAATTCAGCTTTAATAAATACTACTTGTGAAACCACTCAAATTTATGGTGACGGATACTGTAGATAACATTCCATTCAAATATGTTGGCTTTGTATCCCCCAGTGTTAAAATTACGCAACACTGGCATGTCAATGCTTTGCTTTTACCATGGGGTAAAAATAACTAAACGATAAACCAATTTTCAGAGAAATTGCAGCTGAACTACAGAGTTTTAGTTTTGCTCTATGGCATCAGGCCATCCATTGAGACTTCAGAAAGACAAGGACTTGTTTTTCAGTAACTTTCGACAAGACCGCTGGTTGGTTTTAGTGAATAGCTAAGATCTTCCTTAAACATGTATTCATTTCATCCCCCAATAAAACAATCACATTGCTGTTGCTCAGCTGATTTAGGCCCAATCCCAATTCTAACCCTTAGCCCTTCCCCTTTCCCGATTCTCTTTTGGTTGGAGGGGTAGGGGCAAGGGGAAGGGCCAGATAGCCCTTCAAACGAAGATTTTTCGGAACCACACTTCAAACGAAGGGGTATGAATTATCTCAGCGTAAACCGGCTTCAGCGGCAACATGGCTGCCCGAGCGAACAAAAAGACACATAAATGTTAGCATTTTTGGCATTAATAAAGATTTTAACGAAAAGTAATCATTTGTTTTATGTTACATTCAATCGTGAGTTCATATTTACAGTCATGTTACTCAAAGAAATGTTTGCAAAATTGCGTGTGTGCGCAAACAGCTATTTTATCCTCTCATTGCTGGAAAATATAACCTATCGATTCAGTATTTAAACTGTTATTAATAAAAGTTGTGGGGCAGTGTTGACAAGTTCCTTTGCTCCTGGATGTGTGAGCTGCGCGATATCTGATGTGTGTGTGTGTGTGTGTGTGTCAGTAAGCAGCGCATTAAT